TTAAAGTGAATTTAGTTTAAATTAAAACACGAGAAATATTTGAAGTAATAGAAGGTTAAGTATCTCTGTGTCACGTGGTTTTGTTTGTTTACCTTTAGTTAATTACCTAAACAGATGGACTATACGTTAACATTAAATTTCAATGCGTATTTTTTCTGTTTTAACCCCGCAGCACGTTGCGCGGCAGTCAGTTGCCCAGCCATCGCTCCAACCGCGCAATCAGATCAATCCTTACCTGTATTTAAGTTTCTGAAACTCCTTGCTGTTCAGGTCCTCCCACCGTATCACCCACATCTCATCATTGGACATTGTGTACAGTTCTACTAAATCTCCCGGTAGATTCTTTAATTTCCTATTCTTCTTTTCAACATTTTTCTCTTTCTTCTGTTTATCTTTTTTTGGGGCTAACTGTAAGAGAAGGATAAAGATTTTATGTAATAAACGAGCTGACAGATCACCTTATGGTAAGCAATCGGCGTCGACCATGGACACTCGAAATACCAAAGGCGTTACAAGTGCGTTGCGAACATTTAGGGGACTAGGAGTTTGAGGATTGTTGGTGATTCGGGGGTTGGCGAGATTAGCGGTTGGGGTTGTAATTAAACCATTTAAGTAAAGTAAGTAAAACATTTAAGTAAGTACTTCGTGCTCGCTCGTAAAGAGTATATTTAGAGCCTAGAGCATATTTTCAAAGTGGCAAACGAGCGAGTATCACCTGATGGTAAGCAATCAAATATGGACACCCGCAACACCATGGAAGCTATAAGTTTTGTTGCCTTTTACCAAAGGAAAATCGACCTTACTAATTCGACGACCTCAGATAAAACTGACGTGATATTGCATTTGCGTTGTGTTTCTAGTCGTGTGATTGAGGTTATTGAAAACATAATATTATCCCCTTATCCTCCATCACTAATCCTCGATCCTCGATCATCAATTCCCAAATCCCTGAAAGGTCGGCGATGCACTTGAAACTCCTCTAGTGTTGCGGGTGCCCATGGGCGGCGCAGATTGCTTACCATCATGTGATCAGTGCGCTCGTTTGCCGGCCTATACCATAAAAAATATTACATACCTTTTGCTTCTTCTTTTCACTCTTCTTTCTCTTCTTGTCTCGTTCTGTCTCCTCTTTAAGTTTGGACAGCTGGACATCCTCATCGGAAGACACCTCATTTTTCCCTGGTATATCCTCAAAATATGTATCTTCTAGTGCTTCTTCTTTTATGTCCACGTCTGTAGGAACAAAAACGTATAACATAGTTATACTAACTTCTGCCAACGGTTCGCCCGCGTTTCCGTGGGATAAAAGTACCTTATGTCTTATTCTAGACCATAATCTACCCCTGTTCCAAATTTTATCGCGATCACTTCACACATTTTGACGTGAATGAGTAACAAACATACAAACATACAGACAAACGGACACACAAACTTCCTCATTTACCTATACTTAGTCATTTGACTTTTTTTGAGGGGGGAAAATCATCCAATGACTTCTCTCACCCGGGTGAGGGAGTGTCAGACTCTTACTGACTAAAAACCACCCCGTTGCTACTCCTGCACTTCGAGCCGGAGCACCGACAACCTAGTATATGACCCTATTAGTATGACCCTGCTTGGCTCATATTAGTCTTCTATTTATATGGGATAAGCCTGCAAACGAGTAGACGGATCACCTGATGGTAAGCAATCGGCGTTGGCCATGGATACAACACTAAAAGCGTTACTACAAGTGCGTTACCGGCCTTTTGGGGATTAGAAATTTGAGGATTGTAGGGGATTCAGGGATTGGGGAGGAGGGGCGGGCGGGTGTGATTGGGCCTCTGGTAATCTCACTCGCACGATAAAACGCAACGCAAGCGTTGTTTTACATCGGTTTTCTGCCCGGCCGTAGTATCACTCCGGTCGGGCCGGCTCAGTCGTGCCAAAGCATGACAAGCCCCCCCACCCTTGGAGCATAAGGGGTTTGGGCATCAGGTAACCAACAACGTTACACACAACACAAAGTTAATAAAGAAAAACCACTTAGTTATTATATTAAATGCTTTATTAAGATTAATAATTTAAACATGTTTACAAAACCACAAACCGTAGTAATTGGCGTTGCCTAGTCTCTGCCTACCCCCATGGGAGACAGGCGTGAAGTTATGTATGATAGATTTTTGTATTAATTATAATTATTTTACAAAATCAACAAAGAAAACTATACACTATCCAAGCAATATTATGTACTGCTTGGCATACTGCAATTTTCTCGCAGTCGGTTTCGCTAGAACTGGTTGTGTCGCTAGAATTGGGGACTTTGCTAGAACTGGTCGCTTCGCTAGAACCGGCAAGTATCGGCAGATAATATTTAAAAGTGTAATTTCTACGGTTATCAATATGGATACTCGTACACCGTTTTTTATTCATTTTCTCTGTATATTTTATAATGAAATGCCATTGCTGCACTCTATCTCCTAGTTGCCAAAATTGTTTAAAGCATTCCAATCTTTTGTATTAATTATAATTATTATACAAAATCAACAAAGAAAACTACACACTATCCAAGCAATATTATGTACTTATATTAACTCGTCGAGTACCGTCATTATAGACACAATTATAGAACAATAGGTTGCGGTCACCGGTGACCGCTTGGTGTTTGACAGATTAAGCTGTCAAACACCAAGTGTCAAATACAAAGACGGTACTCGACGAGTTAATTAGAAATATGGTTTGCTCACGTTAATTATTGGAGAAAAACTCAACTTTACTTAGGAACAAAGAAACGAAGTCACTTTTAAAGGGGGGGAATCATCGAATCACTTCTCCCGTATCGATATCGTGGGACGTCACGATTTACTATATTTCATGAGAGTAGAGTGATGTAACGACCTCCCCGCTCCTAAACTTAAGTCCGTTTTATTCAAGTATTGTTTTATTATGCAACTTATTTTCATTACCTAACTGACGGATTAATTAAATTTCTAATTTTCATATACTGTCGACTAGCCTATAAAATTTTACGAATCCTTTTTGGTACGGCCAAAAACTATATCAAAGTTTGAATTAACAATATCTCGATAATGTCTTAACGTAGACGCTTTAGACGAGTATTTTTTGGGGTCAAACCAAATGGTTTGACCCCAAAAAATAAAACTCCTTATGAGATATTTTTTGGGGTCAAACCAAATGGTTTGACCCCAAAAAATAAAACTCCTTATGAGATATTTTTTGGGGTCAAACCAAATGGTTTGACCCCAAAAAATAAAACTCCTTATGAGATATTTTTTGGGGTCAAACCAGTTGAGGTACAACTTAAACATTTTTGTCAAATTTAGGTCTTTTAAATAGATTTTTTGGCTCTTTCTGCGAAGCGATCTAGATGGTGTAAATGTCCGGACATGGTCACAAACGCTATTTTCCATTGCGGTATTCTTAATGACTCTATGATTCCCGTGGCGACCCCGTCTGTCTTCCAAATTAGCAGTTCCGTTATTCTTCGCCCAAGCAGTCTTTATTATGCGGCCAGAAATGGCCAGAGTATTGATAAACATAATTTGACATACTGCAATTTTCTCGCAGTCAGTTTCGCTAGAACTGGTTGTATCGCTAGAATTGTGGACTTTGCTAGAAGCGGCAAGTATCGGCAGATAATATTTAAAAGTGTATTTTCTACGGTTATCAATATGGATATTCATACACCGTTTTTTATTCATTTTCTCTGTATATTTTATAATGAAATGCCATTGCTGCACTCTATCTCCTAGTTGCCAAAATTGTTTAAAACATTCTAATCTTTGTTCTTCAGATATTCTGTCATAGCATTTATAGTGACATTCGCAAGGTGCTCCCATAGATTTTTCATCTACTTCTTTGCCTTTTTTCGTTATGTATTTCTTTCCTAAATTTCTAAGACGTTTACGTTTAACATCTCGCCATTCTTCTGTACGCTTCACTCGTTTTCTTGTCGTTCTCTTGTCGGAAGTAGATGACTTTTTAGTGGTATCTACTTTTGTATTAAGATTAAGAGAGAGTCCACTGTCGCAGATGGATTCGCTATTGGCAGGAGATGGTATGGGAGTTGACACTGAAAGTTCTGAAGTTGATTCGTTCAGTAGAGCGTCCTCTATTAGCTTTTCAAGCTTTATCTGTGGGTTTTCCATACTTTGAGAAACTTCCAAAGAAAACGCACTCAAGTCATTGCTATCAACATCTTCTGTAAGAGGATCAGACATGTTATTTAGTTCGGAGATGTCAGTCGTTATTTCTAGGGTCTCTTCATCCATCTGCATTTCTTCACAAACGCTAATTTTCTTACGGATTCGATTCCCATGACGACCTCGTCTGTCTTCTAAATTAGCAGTTCCGTTATTCTTCGCCCAAGCAGTCTTTATTATGCGGTCAGAAATGGCGAGAGTATTTATAAACATAATTTGGCATACTGCAATTTTTTCGCAATCGGTTTCGCTAGAACTGGGTGTATCGTTAGAATTGGGGACTTTGCTACTGGTCGCTTCGCTAGAACCGGCAAGTATCGGCAGATAATATTTAAAAGTGTATTTTCTACGGTTATTAATATGGATATTCGTACACGATTTTTTATTCATTTTCTCTGTATATTTTATAATGAAATGCCACTGCTGCACTCTATCTCCTAGTTGCCAAAATTGTTTAAAGCATTCTAATCTTTGTTCTTCAGATATTCTGTCATAGCATTTATAGTGACATTCGCAAGGTGCTCCCATAGATTTTTCATCTACTTCTTTGCCTTTTTTCGTTATGTATTTCTTTCCTAAATTTCTAAGACGTTTACGTTTTACATCTCGCCATTCTTCTGTACGCTTCACTCGTTTTCTTGTCGTTCTCTTGTCAGAAGTAGATGACTTTTTAGTGGTATCTACTTTTGTATTAAGATTAAGAGAGAGTCCACTGTCGCAGATGGATTCGCTATTGGCAGGAGATGGTATGGGAGTTGACACTAAAAGTTCTGAAGTTGATTCATTCATTAGAGCGTCCTCTATTAGCTTTTCAAGCTTTACCTGTGAGTTTTCCATACTTTGAGAAACTTCCAAAGAAAACGTACTCGAGTCATTGCTATCAACATCTTCTGTAAGAGGATCAGACATGTTATTTAGTTCGGAGATGTCAGTCGTTATTTCTTGGGGCTTTTCATCCATTTGTATTTCTTCACAAACGCTAATTTTCTTACGGATTCGATTCCCATGACGACCTCGTCTGTCTTCTAAATTAGCAGTTCCGTTATTCTTCGCCCAAGCAGTCTTTATTATGCGGTCAGAAATGGCGAGAGTATTTATAAACATAATTTGGCATACTGCAGTTTTCTCGCAGTCGGTTTCCCTAGAAATGGTTGTATCGCTAGAATTGTGGACTTTGCTAGAACTGGTCGCTTCGCTAGAACCGGCAAGTATCGGCAGATAATATTTAAAAGTGTATTTTCTACGGTTATCAATATGGATATTCGTACACCGTTTTTTATTCATTTTCTCTGTATATTTTATAATGAAATGCCACTGCTGCACTCTATCTCCTAGTTGCCAAAAATGTTGAAAGCATTCTAATCTTTGTTCTTCAGATATTCTGTCATAGCATTTATAGTGACATTTGCAAGGTGCGCCCATAGATTTTTCATCTACTTCTTTGCCTTTTTTCGTTATGTATTTCTTTCCTAAATTCCTAAGACGTTTACGTTTCACATCCTGCCATTCTTCTGTATGTCTCACTCGTTTTCTTGTCGTTCTCTTGTCAGAAGTAGATGAATTTTTATGGCTATCTATACCTATATGTTTAGGAGATAATTCAGTGTCGCAAGATTGGATACATGATGATGGCATTAACAGTTCTAAAGTAGGTGAAGTTGCTCCATTTAAATTAGAGCCTTCTAACACCTCTTCGACTTTAAATAATATTTCTGAACTAGAGTGATTGCTTTCATCTTCAGCGAGGGGATCAGATATTTTTTGGACTTCGTTTTCATTATCATGAACTTCCCATAGTATGGTTAAAGGGTTTTGACTAGTATCTTCAGGATCAGAAGATGAAGAGGACGGGTGACGTTCATCATTGCCTGAAAGTTAAAAAAATGTTATCAGTAATATTACAAGTCTAATGGCTTCTCTTAATTTTTAAGGAGCCCCTAAGCGGCTAAGATAGTTGACATTTAACGACTTTTGGTTTTCATCAACATATAAGTGACACCTAATAGTATAAGTAAGGGGTTAAGTTATGTGTTACGACACAGTACAAGTAAGGGGTTAGGTTAGGTGCTATAACTTTTAATTAAGATATGGTTAGTAAAAACAGCCAATAGGATCAATTCACACCAAGAAAGTGTGGGAGAGCCATGCTTCGGCACGAATGGGCCGGCTCGACCGGAATAATACCACAGCCTCACAGAAAACCAACGTGAAGCAACGCTTGCGTTGTGTTTCGTTGTGTGAGTGCGGTTACCGGAGGCCCAATTACCCTCCCCTTCCCCAATCTCCCCAATCCCTGAATCCAGAACGATCCTCAACTGCTAATCCCCAAAAGGCCGGTAACGCACTTGTAACGCCTCTGGTGTTCTAGGTGTCCATGGGTGACGCCGATTGCTTACCATCAGGTGATCCGTCTGCTCGTTTACCGACTTATGCCATAAAAAAAATTTAAACTAAAAAATTATAATAATAATAATAAATCTTTATTCATTATAAGAAATTGGTCATAGTACCATTTACTTTTTTGTTTTTACTTTATACATACATCGAAAGTACTCGTTATGGCAAGTTGTTTTGCCGCGGGACGAAAACGAAATAGATTTCACGGTGTATACGTTTCAACTACCATTAATTAATTGACTGACAAATCCACAGCCTACTGACTGACTGACTGACAGCCAACACTATAGAAGAGCAACTCAAAAAAACAACTTTACTTTCTACACGACAAAATACACATTTCATACTTCTTTCGCCTCATACAGAGTCGCTTCGCGGTATGAATTGACACTGAACTATATGATGCTATTAAAATTGTAGTAACGTTTCAACAGACGCAGTAGTTTCAGTAAAACGTTTCATCTTGATAGAAATAATATAATAAATTATATCATTAGATTCCGTAGAAAAACGTCCTATGTTCACATGCGACGCTTGGAATGTCAATATTATCGACATGTATTTTTATTGTTTTCTTAATGTAAAAGGAATATACTTTTTTTATTAAAATGGTTTTCTTTCTATAGGTGTTACGCACAAAAACGCACTATGTATGTACCTTTTGAACCGCCACGTCAAAAATGCAGACGTGTCCACAGCGCCAAGCTACTAAGTTCGTAAATGGATAGTCTAATAGAATTGTTCTAAGTTTTTGTCTTTTTTATAAGAAAGAAGGTCAACTAATATAAATAAGAATGCGTAAAGGATATAACATAACATAACTGTAACGACTTTTAATCCACGAAACGGAAGGCAGAGGTGCACATTACCGCACTTAATGCCACTGTACAATGTAACACCCACTTTTCACTATCTATGTTACGAGTCCCATGTAATAGATGGTGAGCCTATTGCCATATACCGGACACATGTCCAGACTCCGTGCTACTACTGTGATTTTTTAAAAATCCAGTAATATCTAGCCCGTCTCTGGAATCGGACCCGAGACCCCTTGCCCGACAGTCACACTTGCGACCATTCGGCCAACGAGGCAGTCAAAACGCGTAAAGGTATGTCAAATAAAAAGAAATGTCATTTATTGAACGCTTTATTTGCGGTTAAGTCTAGTATCAGTAGCTGCGACTGTGGCGTCTACGCGACGTGATCGAAACGAGACCGCGTAGGGCGCTGTGATTGGTTGGGTCATTGGGATCATGACGTTTTGGTGTCAATAAACGAAAAACAAACTCGTACTAGTCACTCAGGGCATTTTTTGATTTGACGTCTATACACGACTCTGGCGGACTAAAGGTGTTTTTATGGCATAAGCCGGTAAACGAGCAGACGGATCATCTGATGGTAAGCAATCAGCACCGCCCATAGACACCTGGAACACCAAAGTGCCTTACCGGCCTTTTGTAAATTGGGACTTGAGGATTGTGGGCGGTTCATGGATTGGGATAGACTGGAGGGGCTAATTGGGCCTTGGATAAAGGTTAAAATTGATCTGTCACAACTGTACATAGCAAAGCATATGTGATTAAAGACCGTAACTAAAATACTAATATCACAATAATACAATGAAAAACACAAACTTACCTGGATGAAACTCTTTCTTCATATAACCAACACTTCATGTGGTCGCAATGTCTTTCAAAATATGTTTTTTCATGCAAAACACTTGAATTTTTTTTTAATAGAAGCGAAAGAATGTTACGCGCACGACATAAGACACGTCCTTTCACGACCAAATAGCGGGTCAATCTGACGGTCGGACAAAGGTCCCGCGGCGTTTTTGTTTCCCGCGCGCCATCACATGTAGGTACACTTCGGACGTTTTACTGCGGATCTAATGTTAAATGGACATTCGATTGTATCTTAAAGGTATTAAATTAAGAAGCAATAAATAAGCCAGGGAGAGGCGTGTTTCAGCATGAATGGGCTGGCTCGACCGGAGTGATCACGGCCGAGCAGAAAACCGTAGTGAAACAACTGTGTTTCGCCGTGTGAATGAGATTACCGGAGGTACAATACTCCAAAAAATGGCGTAATCAAACAGTTCCTGCAGCATCTTCAATACGATTGATGTTGCAGGTGCACTTAGAATATAGTGTCTGCTTACTATCATGACAATAGGGTAGATATTTATAATAACTATCGTGAGACATACTAACTTAGCTAAAAATAGCGAGTTACTCACGTGAAGGTACTGAGAAAAGCTCTACTAGTTAGTTTCGAACCACAGAAGGGTTCTTCCTCATGAGTCGCGTCGCGCAGCCTACTGGAGCAGCATGCTGCTCATGAGGAAAAACCCCTCTGTGGTTAAAAACTAACTAGTACTAACTACTACATTGACAAAAATTTTAAAAAATGTTATTTTGGTATTTGTATCCTATGTAGACAATTATTAACAAGTGCGTTGCCGGCATCTTTTTTATTTTTTATTTCAGCAGCGCTCTCTGATAAACCGGAACTTTTTGAATTATGATCTCAAAGCCGAAACCTCTTATGCATGTGGTAAGAAGCGGTTATTTTAATATTACAAACAGATATTCCAATTTTATTTATCTGTATAGATAGTCTTTCAGTCAGTCCCCTAGTGAAGCTATATGCTTGTTCGAAAGTGTGGATTCGTATAGAGAATAAAGACTGACTGACTGACAGACTTAAGAGTGGGAGAGCCATGCTTCAGCACGAATGGGCCGGTTCGACCGGAGTGATCCCGTCAGCCGAGCAGAAAACTGTAGTGAAGCAACGCTTGCGTTGTGTTTCATCGTGTGAGTGAGGTTACCGGAGACCCAATTGTCCCCCCCCCTCCTCCCCAGTCTCTCTAATCCCTGAATCCCCAACAATCCTCAAATTTCCACTTCCCAAAAGGCCGGTAACGCACTTGTAACGCCTCTGGTGTTGCAGGTGTTTAGGAGCCGAGTGCTTACCATCAGGTGATCCGTCTGCTCGTTTACCGGCTTATTCCATAAGAAAAGACGGTGCTTACCAAAAGTATACTCCAGTTGGTGCTCCTCATCTTTGACCAGTACTTCTTTCTCGTCTTCGACACCTTCTTTCACCTCCTTTACTTGTTCAACAAAAACTTCTGTCTTAAGTAAAGATTTAGTTGCGTGCGGTTCAAAATCGTGCGGAGAGTCCAAGAAGGTATGCTGGAAAATAGAACAAGGATGAGGATGATGACCCAAACAGCTTACTGCTAAAACATCACCTGGTGCAAGTCAACTCTATGCACGGCGTTTGTGGTAAGTCTCACTATTTTATTGGTGTATTAATGATTGTAACTCGGATTTGTTATATTGAAATTTTATTGGCTTTTTATCCCTGAAGAGGTGCACTTTATTACGGCACTTAATGCCACTGTACAATGTCACACCCACCCAGTCTGGAATTGTGCCCAGTTACGTGAGACTCATAACATTAATAGTGAAAACTGGGTGTTACATTGTAGGTACAGTGGTATTAAGTGCCGCAATGCCTATCCCTCCAGGAATAAAAGGCGTGCTGTGCTACTACTGAGATTTTTTTTTAAATAGCCACCAGTATTGTGCCCGACCCGGGAATTGGGTAGTTTCCAAGTTATCAAAATTAAAAATCTAATTAGTCCGTCAGTTAGGTAATGAAAAAAATATTAGACACGTATTTTTTTATTTTGTTGTATAATAAAATGATACTTAGATATACGAATCAAAGTTTAGGAGTGGGGGCTAAAACGTCATTTCTACGTATAAAATGTACATAGAAGTGACGTCACGCGACATTTCAAATCAATATATCGACTAAAGTATTCGTTTCTGTAAAAAATAAAAAATACGTATCTAATGATTTAAAATAACCTACCAGACGGACATTGAAATAAAAATTAGTCATCTACCCTATTACAGTTTAAAGTTAGTGTGCGTGATCATATATTGCCGGAGTCTGAGGCTTCTTGAGTTGTCATGCTTGCTCAATGATATCATTAGCGGTGGCACGTGCTTTGGATCGCTCGGCCGGCCTATGTGTCTACTCGTTTGCCAAACTATACCATGAAAAATCATAGCAAATATCAGCACAGAATTGACAAGACACACCCAAATACTAAATTTTAAATTGTACTCAAATATTTTGCCTTTAATGTCAGTTTACAAAGAATTTGTAGCTATTTTTTTTTTTATGGCATAAGCCGGTAAACGAGCAGACGGATCGCCTGATGGAAAGCAATCGGCGTCGCCAAGGGACACCTGGAACACCAAAGGCGTTACAAGTGCGTTACCGGCCATTTGGGGATTAGGAGTTTGAGGATCGTTGGGGATTCAGGGATTGGGGACATTACGAAAGGGGAAGGTAATTGGGCCTACGGTAACCTCACTCACACGACGAAACAACGCAAGCGTTGCTTCATGTCGGTTTTCTGTGAGGCCGTGGTATCACTCCGGTCGAGTCGGCCCATTCGTGCCGAGACATTTTGTACACATTTTGAAAACGACAGCTAATAACTACTATGAGATAAAAATATAAAAAAAGATGAGTAGATACCTCTTTAGAATATTTGATTAAGAAGTCGTAAGACTGCAGTATCTGCTTCCTAAATCTGATGGCAGACTTGACACGCGCCAGGCATTCCCAGCACACCTGGATTTCTAAACCGTCTGGCACCTGGAACAGAGAATTTTATAAAACAAAAATATAGGCGCCTAGTAGATACTGCTGTACGTGTGTATGTCATTGAACTCCTCCTAAACGGCTTGACCGATTTAACTCGTCGAGTACCGGTTTTGTAGACACAATTATAGAACAATAGGTTGTGGTCACCGGTGACCGCTTGGTGTTTGACAGTTTAAATGTATTTTTCTGTACGCGTTTGAGTGGCGCCCTAGATGGTTTAAAATTAGATTCACGAATGGCCTAGCAGATGGCACTGCAGTTGGTGCCTTTTTTTTTAAAGGGGGAAAGTCATCGAATGACAGCTCCCGCCTGGGTGAGGCGGGAGGGAGTGTCAGACTCTTACTGACTAAAACCACCCCGTTCCTTCTCCTGCACGTCGAGCCGGAGCCCCGGTTACTAGTTGTTGTCTTATCGGTTACAGTTGGTGTCTAGATTATTTATCCTAAACAACTGAACTAATTTGAATGATATTTTGATAATACATTCAAGTAGGACTATATATGCAGGACAACGTCTATCGAATCCGCTAGTGTACTATATAAAAATGAGTCGGGTTTTCCTTCCTGACGCTATAACTCCAGAACGCACGAACCGATTTCCACGGCTTTGCATTAAATTCAATTCTTTGAATTAGATTCACGAATGGCCCGGCAGGTGGCACTGCAATTGGTGCCTTTTTTTTAAGGGGGGAAAATCATCGAATGACTGCTCCCGCCTGGGTGAGGCGGGAGGGAGTGTCAGACTCTTACTGACTAAAAACCACCCCGTTCCTTCTCCTGCACGTCGAGCCGGAGCCCCGGTTACCCGTTAGGTTCTCCGCGACTCCGAATCGGCATCTGGTGATCTGATGGCTCTTTGAGACGCGCACGGAACGCGACGCGCCGTACGCTCGACGCGACGCGCCGTACGCTCGGGTCTGTTTCTGGTCGGACGGGGAGCCACCCATGCTCGCCGTCCGCAGGCCCGCGCTTACGGTGGCCGGAGATCGTAAAAGGCGACATATTAAAGAAAAAGTACCCTTAACCGACGACCATGCATGAAATACTGATGACTGTTGATGAAGCGAAATAGGTGTGTAGGAACCGTAGCAATTGGCGTTCCATAGTCTCTGCCATCACTTCTGATCTTCACGCCTGTCTCCCATGGGGGTCCTTGGGAGACAGGCGTGAAGTTATGTATATATTATGATAGAAAACCCAGGTAACTCCATAAAATTACAAAGCGCGTCGCATCAAGCTTCCTTGTGCGTACTGCTAAGGAGTGGAATTCTTTGCCAGACTCTCTATTTCCTGAAGGGTACAATCTGGGTGTCTTCAAGGCTCGAGTGAATCGGTCGCTTATTGACGTGCTGCATCGTAGACCGCATCATCGTATCACCAGGCAAGATAGTGGTCAAACGTTCGTCGGCCCAATAAATAAATAAAAAAAAATTACTACCTATCTAAGAGTGAAATATAGTAATATTCAAAAATAAAATGAAATGGAGCCACGCAGAATATCCTTACTAATATTATAAACTAGCGACCCGCCCTGGCTTCGCACGGGTGCAATATGCATGTATTATACATACAAACCTTCCTCAAGAATCACTCTATCTATTAAAAAAAACCGCATCAAAATCCGTTGCGTAGTTTTAAAGATCTAAGCATACATACGGACATACAGCGAAAGCGACTTTGTTTTATACTATGTATTGATATTGATTGGAAAGTGAGTTAGTTTGTTTGTTCCACTTTCACGCCGTAACTACTAAACCGATTGCTTTGAATTTTTGCAGACGTAAAGTTAGAAGTCTGGATTAAATAATAGGGTTCTTTTTATCCCGGAAAAAATTAATATTTCCGAGGGAAAACAAAAGTATTGGTATAGATGGCGCTGTGTGTTTTGGTATATTATTATGTCACATAGGCTACTTTTTATCCTTTAGTGACGCGAGCGAAGCCGCGGGTAAAAGCTAGTAACGAATAAATACATATAATTGTTTAATATTATTTGTCAGTAGTAGCACGGAGTCTGAAATTGCGCCCGGTATATGGCAATAGACTCACCCCCTATTACATGGGACTCATAACATAAATAGTGAAAAGTGGGTGTTACATCGTACAGAGGCAAGGGCCGTGATGTGCACCTCTGCCTACCCATTCCGGGATAGAAAGCGTGATGTTATGTTTTGAAAATTATTATATATTTTTAATTAATCTCCCCAGACGGACATACTTTAAGCAATCAAGATATTTCTAATAGGTACCTACCTACGCAAATTGCGTTAAGTTAAAACCTTCATTTTATATTGTTTTTTTTTATTCGAATAAAAACTTCTTAGCATTAACTCGTCGAGTACCGGTTTTGCAGACACAATTATAGAACAATAGGTTGCGGTCACCGGTGACCGCTTGGTATTTGACAGTTTAAGGCACTAAATACAATTATAATTTTTCTATTTAATGCAAAACTTTCAATAAAAATAAATCAACTAAAAATTATTTGGTACATATTAGGACAAAAAAATTACGACCACAATGGCCGATCTAAGGATTTTTGTTCTATGTTTACATCAATTTAAACACGATATATGAATTAAACTGTGGCACTGTAACTTTAAATAGCATTTTCTATGTACATTTTAACGTAATCTAATAAGAATATCTATCAAATAAAGCACTTACATCAATATTTCCAAGCAGTCGAAAACATTCTTTGATGTCTGAATTGTAAAACATTCGACGATTATAGTTTAAACACCCCACGCATATTCCATTCACGTTATAACCTTCTATATTTATGTTTATTTCATTCATTTTTACAAATAACTTGCGCTTTCTGATTATAAAATTTCTTTAGCAACAAAAGAAGCTTCATAGCTTTCGTTCAGCCATTTTGAAACTGCATTGAACGTTCCATTTCACTAAACACTTTGATGCAAAAATTGTAGGAAATAAACACGATGAAAACTTATCTTGATACTCAGTTTTATGTGATATCACTTAATTTTTTTTTTAACACTAATTATATCATGTAAAAATTAATTGATGAAATATTTTTACATATAAAATGTAGACTACTAAGCCGAATAAGTATTCTTGAGTATAATGGAACGCCTTGTACCGCGTTCCGGAACAGTCGAAATACTTAATTTGAAGTCGTAGCATTACTTTTTTTTCTGTCTTTAGTACACGTGTACGATGAAATAGAAAACAGAACATGCTGAATTTTGTACTACAGTTAAACGTAATGACATTAAACATAATGGCAAAGGCGATTGATTTGTTGACTTGAGAGAGCGGTACCTATCAAGAAGTGGTAAAAAACGTTTAGTAGCCAAAATTATATTAAATTTTCATTGAAAGTGATAAACATTTGTGTTGAAGTATGTTCCGTTCATATAAGGACGTTTCGTTTGAATCAAAACCGAAGGAAAAGTGCGAATTTGAGATAGATGAAGGATTTTTTTGCGATCTATGCACTTCTGGCCCGTTTTCCACCGAATTAGATGTTGATATTCATCGTAGGAACGCTCATAAATGGGAATTATTAAAGTCTTTAAGAGATGAAGACGTTCTAATGTGTTCTGTAAGTATTAATTGTGTTTTTAAATTCATTCTCTGACGATAAAGGTCTACGTCAGCCGCTGCATAAAGATGTTTCCAACCTCGCGATATGTAGTCGTTGGAGGAGGACTGTGTGATCAGTGGACAGTACGTAACTGATATGCTATAAATGTTACTGATTGTTGACCATAATATCACTAAAATTGAGCCTATCGTCCATCATTGCAAAATCAACAATGTTACTTAATTCAACTAAGTCTCATCACTCCCTACCTTATTTCTAAAAGTAAATAGCGTGATATTACATTGTAAAAACCTTTAAATCATAGATCCAGAAAGAAATATTCAAATCCATAAGCTATTTCTAGGGATATGAGTGCTTAACAAAACCTATCTTTAATTTTATTGTCAGACTTAAGATATTTGTTTTCTCTTGGTTTTGTTTTTTTTTTCTATTTTAGTATGTTCTGTTATTTGTATGTTGCGTCAGGTATGTCTTTACATTATTCTCACATGTGTTTACAATATTGAAATATGTATCAGAGCAATTAGTAATATGTAAAACAGACTTTTTTTTAAAAAGAGTAACAAATGGAGTTTTTGCTCGTTCTTCTCCACTCGAATCGACATTTTGGAATGAGCGCCTAGCTTCACTGACGGACAGACTGACAGACCATTATATATTTCATATTTGTTGACGTTTCAAAAGTACCAAATTATGGTTTAATTGAAATAAATGCTGTTGAGTTTGAGTTTATTGTATAGTAGTATTTTTTCTTTAGTTATATGAGTAAAAGAAAGAACACATTTAGTTTTACCCTCTAGGATGTTTAGATATACACCCTCACCCCGTTGATATCCATCCCCTAAATTTGGTCATACAAAAGTATTCTCTAAACATTAGAAATAAGGTCTATAATGTAATGTAATATTAGTGGAAAGCAGTCACCGGTGACCGCTTGGGGATTTATGGGTTAATCTATAATCCATACTAATATTATAAAGCTAAAGAGTTTGTATTTTTATTTGTTTGTTTGAACGCGCTAATCTCCGAAGCTACAGGTCTGATATGAAAAATTCTTTCTGTGTTGGATAGCCCATTTATGGAGGATGGCTATAGGCTATAAAATATCACGCTACAATAAAAGGTGCCAAGCAGACCGAGTGAAACCGCGCGGAAGTAGCTACTTATAAATAAAAATGATTTTCCATTGTATTAACTCGTCGAGTACCGTCATTATAGACACAATTATAGAACAATAGGTTGCGGTCACCGGTGACCGCTTGGTGTTTGACAGTTTAATAATGGTTTTCGGCTTACTCACGTTACTGTTTGATGAGGACCTCTTCTAGTGTCAAGCCACGCTAGAGGCTCATATTCATGAATGAATTGACCCTATTGTCTATCCACCATCCCCTAGTTTCGAGTCGCGTTCCTTGTCAAACAGTGATGTTATTAACTCGTCGAGTACCGTCAATATAGACACAATTATAGAACAATAATCCAAAAACAATAATTAAACTGTCAAACACCAAGCGGTCACCGGTGACCGCAACCTATTGTTCTATAATTGTGTCTACAAAACCGGTACTCGACGAGTTAATTTAGTATGTCTCACGAAAGCTTTATACAACATGTAACGTAATTAATGCACACCCTCAAACACCCCAATTAGAATATTATGTTATAATCATAATACATACACTAAATTTTTAATTTAACATGTATATGCATCCTTACTGGTCTTGTCATAAGGTTTATTTTTCTTTATTTTGTATTGAATGATAGAATTTGTATGAATACAAATAAAACTGCGATTTTAAAAGTCTTATTGCTTTGACTTACGGTCCATTTCGATTTGTTTTAACAATACAGGGTTTGATATGACAATAATTTCCGTAGTTTTAATTATTTTTGGGATAAAAAATTACCTATAGTAAAAATTATATAAATCGATTCAGTTAACGATTCTGAACAAACTATTTTCAGGATGTGCGTTATTTAAGTTACATGTTGTATAATATGAATTTCCATTTGTTAAACTCGCTGAAACTTGATTACAACTGAACTGATGTGGCTAATTTTAGTCTTGATATATTTGAGATAGTCCAGGCAAGGTTTAAAACTGAGAACTATTTTTCAACTGTTTTACTGTGCAAGAGCAAACACCCACATAGTAGAATCTTCTTTTTCCATAAAGCAAAATAAAACCACTTAAGATCCACTGCCTATAGTTCAGTTAAGATCACATCTTTTATCCCCAAAGGGGTAGGTAGAGGTGCACATTATGGCACTTAATGCCACTGTACAATGTAACACCCACTTTTCACTATTTATGTTATGAGTCTTATGTAATAGGGGGTGAGCCTATTGCCATGTACCGGGCACTGTTCCAGACTCCGTGCTAGTACTAAGATTTAAAAAAAAACCAGTGATAAGTTCTGTTCTCAATCCTATCTATACTAATATTATAAAGAGGAAAGATTTGTACCTATTTTTGTATGTTTGTAATGAATAGGCTCAAAAAGTACTGGGCCGATTTAAAAAATTCTTTCACCAATAGAATGCTACATTCTTCTAATTTGACATAGGCTACATTTCATTTAGAAAAAAATTAGGGATCCTTGGTAAAATTTGAACAATGTAACCGAAGGTGTAGAAACATAAGTCTTAAAATGTCTTTCGTCGAATGCGCTGCCGAAACTATAAGCGATAGAACAAACAAAATGATGTAGGTACAACAGTATTGAAGAACATCATAATGTCTACAAAATACTCCGCGGTAGCATATGTCCAACTATTGTAGTTATGTCACTACAACAATCTAAATTTCTAAAAATAAATAATTGTCTACCCCATGCGAAGCTGGGACGGGCTGCTAGTATATTGTATAATGATTAACATCATCATCATCATCATCAACAGCCTATAAATGCCCACTGCTGAGCAAAGCCTCTTCTCACACGGAGAAGGTTAGAGCGTTAATCACCACGCTTGCTCAATGCGGGTTGGTGATTTCAAACTTATAATTAGAAATTATAAGTCCAGGTTTCCTCACGATGTTTTTCCTTCACCGTTTGTCAGTGGTGTCTAAATAATCTTAGAAAGTACTGATGATTAACAACAATCTCAAATTTCATTACAGATATGCCTCTACATTCAGAAAGATAAAGAATCCCTAATACAACACATTCTGAGCAGCCACCTATGTTCTGCACCTGACGCAAAAATAATTAACCGAGAACTCTACATCTGTGACCATTGTAACCGCTTATTCTTCAACAAGGACCTACTTATAATGCATATCTACCATTATCATTTACCGAAGGAAGTCAAACAAGTTTCAAATATACGTCACAACTGTCCGAAATGCTTGAAAAGTATTCCAGGGAAGTCGACATGGTTTCATCTTCTCTATCATGGTATCTTCAACTCTAGAACATGTCCAATATGCCTGACATCTTTCAATAGAACCACCGATGTACTAAATCATTTAAAGAGTCACAAACCGTACTTGAAGTGCAACATCTGTGGTTTTACAACGATGAAGGAGCGTTTCTTTACAAGTCACTTAGAGAAACATAAGAAAGATGTGTATTTAAATGAACAGGATGATGTTTCTAAGTATTTCACACCCCAAAACGAGTTCCATTCGTTACAAAACAGGCAGTCGCATACATTGAAAGGTGTACCGTTTGCTAACGAAGTGAGGATCTGTGTGTTGTGTAGAACGGTGTGTCTAAGTTATGAAGAAATGGTTGCTCACATATACGGTGACCATTATCCTGGTGAGAAGGAGAAGAGTAAGAAGTACCAGTGTCTTTGCGGTGAAGATTTCTTCAATAATGTGTTATTGAAGCACCATGTGTTCAAAATGAGAAGCGGACATGCTGTTTTGGAGGCTGGTAAGTGAATGTTTTTTTTTAAATCTAGCCAAATGAAAATTATTGAAAATCATACCCTTTTACATAAAATCACGATTTTTTATTCCCAAAGGGGTAGGCAGAGGTGCACATTATGCCACTGTACAATGTAACACCTACTTTCCACTATTTTATGAGTCCCATGTAATAGGTCGTGAGCCTATTGCCATATACCGGGCACAATTCCAGACTCCGTGCTATTACTGAGAATTTTTTAAAAACCCAGTAATAGTTTGCCCGACCCGGGAATCGAACCCGAGACCCCTTGCCCGGCAGTCGCACTTGCGACCACTCGGCCAACGAGGCAGTTAAGAAAAGAAAAATCATTTAAACTGTCAAACACCAAGCGGTCACCGGTGACCGCAACCTATTGTTCTATAATTGTGTCTATAATGACGGTACTCGACGAGTTAATATCATTTAAATGTATCCTGTTACAGAAGAAGAGAATGGCGAAATCGGCGGACACCTGTGTACATGTGGCCTACAATTCCCCAACAACTTGCTGCTAAAACATCACCTGGTGCAGGTCAACTCTATGCATGGCGTTTGTGGTAAGTCCTATTTATTGGTGAAACAAGTGAATTTATTTCTGCAAATAGGCTACAAGGCAGCACTTTTACACGTCAATTTTATCAAGCGAACGATGAGGTCGACATTTCCTAACTGACTACTCTGAGAAGAAATGCCGAAACAAACTCAGAGGTCTGTCTCTTTTAAAGTCCAGACAAATGTGTATAAAAGATTATGTGTGAGAACCGTGCAAGTTCTTTCTGTAGTAGCCTTTTGAGGAAAGAACCACAACAGTTTGAGCGGATACCCGCTCTGAAGGCAGTACGCATGTGTCGGTTTACAGTCAGCTCAATTAACAGGTGAGGCTGACTGATTCGACGAACAATACCAACCTAAAGAACATTTGCGTGGGTCGCACAAATACTCAAACTGTCAGAATATGGGTAATTAGATAAGAAATGTCGAGGCAAAATCTCGCACGGTCCTAGCACTAACAATTGTAAAATAAAAAGTAAATGTCAAGGTACAAAAAATAAATAAATAAAATGTTCAAATGTAAAACAGTGGTGAATTAATTATTGTAACTCGGATTTGTTTTACTGGACTTTATTGGCCTTTTACCCCCGAAGGGGTAAGCAGAGATGCACATTATTACAGCACTTAGTGCCACTATAATGTGCATCCACATTCCACTCAACTTATCTGCTTATAGTCTTGCGACTGATTGCTGATCTTAAAAAAAAACTTAATACCACTGTACAATGTAACACCCACTTATCACTATTTAGGTTACGAGTAGGGTTGCCACCCGTCCTTTATAATAAAGTATTGTACGTTATTTAAGGTAATTGTACTCTATACTTTATGAGAATAATAAAGTACACGAAAATACTTTATTTTTGCAAACTTCATTTCTATTAAAATCGTAAGTATTTTTCGGTAAACTTATCGATTCGATATTTATCGATTTATGTTGAATCGATAACTTGCCAGCGCCACTTAGAAAATTTATAGTAAAGATGCAAGTGTCTAGTATTTCAATGCAATTTTTAAAGATACTAATTTAATACAAACTGCAAAAAGCAAAAAATATATTTTTAAATAGAATACTAAATAAGAATAATTTGTACTTTTTTTTCTTACCTATAATCGACAATGTACTTTAAATACCAAAGAAAAAGGTGGCAACCCTAGTTACGAGTCCCATGTAATAGGGAGTGAGTCTATTGCCATATACTCAGGACCTATTGAAATAGACTCAGGACTCATAACATAAAAAGTGCGTGTTACGTTGTAGGTACAATGATCAAGTGCCGTAATGCCTACCCCTTCAGGGATAATAGGCGTGCGTGCTATTACTACTACTGAGATTTTTTTTAAAATAGCCACCAATATTGTGGCTGACCCGGGAATTGAACCCGAGACCGGGCAGTCGCTCTTGCCATTGCACTCTTCTCTATGCAAAATTATGTTTATTTATTTATTTATTTATAATTCTTGGACAGCATATAAAAATGGATAAAAATAACAATAGGCGTAGGTAACAATGAGGCAATAACAAGTCCTCACGTTTAACATTTGAAATAAATTAATTAATATGGTGTGAGTACTATACAATATTAAAAATACATACATTCTGCGTAGGTAAATGAAAAAAGTAAATATTGAAACAGACCGTACAGACAATATGATTATGAACAGATCAAGATCCAGACTGTATCATTTTATTTTATTATCCTCAAGGTTATTTTCTTTTTCAGTCTTTCTGACTGGATTTAGGTGTTGCATTGTTCTCACATAATCGAACCAATAAAACTATGTAACTAGAGAATTGTATTGTAAACCTGATTGAAAAAGAGTAACCTATGGAGTTTCTTGCTCGTTCTTCTCCATAGGAATCTACGCCTTAGAATGAGCAACTAGCTTCACTTATAAATTTTTGTTGTTTGACGTTCAAAAGTGCCATCATGGTCTAATTGAAATAAATGATTTTGATTTTGACTTTGACTTTGAAGAGAAACGATAAAAAAAAACTAAAGTTTATTTTTAAATCATTGTGTTGGTATTTTTTTCAGATGGCACAGAAATGGTCACAGAGCAACAACCCTCGAGTGAAATTGTTTTTCTGAATATGATATAGGTATGTATCGATAGGAATGATGACAGGGTATGATAATTAAAAATCTAATTAATCCGTCAGTTAGATAATGAAAAAATATTAGACACATATATTTTTTTGTCGTTTATGAAAACAAGCCATATTCTTCCTTACTATATATTAATATTATAAATCGGAAAGTGAGTTTGTTTGTTTGTTTGTTCCGCTTTCACGCCATAACTACTAAACCGATTGCTTTGAAATTTTTCAGACGTAAAGTTAGAAGTCTGGATTAAATAATAGGGTACTTTTTATCCCGGAACAATTTGATATTCTCGAGGGAAAACGAAATTATTGGTATAGATGGCGCTGTGTGTATTAGTATATGTCACATAGGCTACTTTTTATTCTTTTGTGACGCGAGCGAAGCCGCGGGTATAAGCTAGTACTTAGATAAAACGGAGTTAAGTTTAGGAGTGGGAGGTCGTTACGTGACGCTACCCTATAACATGTAGTAAATTGTGACGTCACGCGACATTTCAAATCAATATATCGTCGAAAGTATGTAAGAAAATAAAAAATACGTGTCTAATGTTTTAAAATTATCTACCAGACGGACATTAAAATAAAATTTAGGAAACTACCCTATTGGTAACGTATCTATATATGTATATAACATGTAACTTAAATAACGCACATCCTGAAAATAGTTTGTTCAGAATCGTTAACTGAATCGATTTATATAATATTTAGTATAGGAAATTTTTTTCCCAAGAATAATTTTCTCAAGGGTTAATATGACAATAATTCTACGGAAATTATTGTTATATTAACCCTGTATTGTTAAAACAAATCGAAATGGACCGTAAGTCAAAGCAATAAGACTTTTAAAATCGCAGTTTTATTTGTATTCATACAAATTCTATCATTCAATACAAAATAAAGAAAAATAAACCTTATGACAAGACCAGTAAGGATGCTTAGACATGTTAAATTAAAAATTTAGTGTATGTATTATGATTATAACATAATATTCTAATTGGGGTGTTTGAGGGTGTGCGTTAATTACGTTACATGTTGTATATACCTCTATATAAATGAAACCTGTTTCCCGTTGTCACGCCATAACTTGAGAACGACTAGACCGATTTGGCTGATTTTTTTTTTGTTGTGTTTGTTATTGTGTTGGTACCTTGCCGATAACCTGGCGCCAATTGATCGTCGACTTCAGGGACACCCTGTATAAATTAAACTCGTCAGAACATCTCAACTAATCCCTTTTACAATGAGTAAAGGATAATATTTATTTTCTTGTTCTTTCCAGATCAACCGATGGAAGTCAAAGTAGGAGATTTGGTCATTGGAGTATAGATAGATGTACGGCAATAGACTCACCCCCTATTACATGGGACTTATAATATAAATAGTGAAAAGTGGGTGTTACATTGTACAGTGGCATTAAGTAGCGTAATGTGCACTTTTGCCTATTCCTTCGGGGGTAAAAGGCGTGATGTTATGTGCTATCCAAGGTTTGGTATTAGGGCTCACACTGTCATAGACTTGCACTCTTACGGCTAGGCTTAACTGTCTATCTATCTTTAGATTTAATTTCTACTAGCTATACCGCAATTTCGTCTGCGTTTTTCCGAAGTAAAAATAACCTATGTTACCCCTTAGTACATTAGCTATCTGCCAATAAAAATCCCATCAAAATCGGTCCAGTAATTTCAGAGATTAGCCAGTATAAACAAACAGTCAGAAAAATTGTACAAAGTATTATTTTGGTATATTATCGATTGTATATTTATATGCATGTAGTAATTTAGTTTCAATATTTATCTATTAATTACTCTCCTTTTCCCCAATCTCCCCAATCCCTGAATCCCCAACGATCCTCAAACTCCTAATCCCCAAAGGGCCGGTAACGCACTTGTAACGCCGCTGGTGTTCCAGGTGTCCATGAGCGACGCCGATTGCTTACCATTAGGTGATCCGTCTGCTCGTTTACCGGCTTATGTTATAAAAAATATTACAAACGGACACTCCAATTTTATTTATCTGTGCGATGTGGCGTCATTTTCGAGGAGCCCTACTCCCCGGAAATGACGACCGGACTGAACAGTTTCCTACACGGTCCGCAACAAAGCAAAGAAACGGCGCCACTAGCGTTTGGCTACAGCTGCTGGTCCGATTACGATGACACTTGGTACGATTATTTTTCAATATCCTGGGCTTCCTATGCCGAAAAAGTATATTAAAAAAACAAACTTAAATTGTGCGGTTCGATTCTTAGACACAGTTACTGTAAAATACGCAAATATAAGTTTGTCGAATGTTAGGTTGCCCGCAGTGGATTTTACGCTGTAACTGTAGGGCCGATGGTTGAAATTAGTTTGAACCGTTAATATAGGACTTTTCTGATTTGTTTTTTTTTTTCTTTTTATAATTATTTGAAATGTATAACGCCTTGGTTTTATGACTGTAATGTTATACTATTTAATTGAAATAAATAAATAAATTATAAATGTGAAAATATGTACGTTTGTGAACGCGGGCGAAACCGCTGGCAGAGGCTAGTGAGAAATAATACGCTAATGTCTCCGATTGTCGCGGAGAACCTAACGGGTAACCGGGGCTCAGGCTCGACGTGCTGGAGAAGGAACGGGGTGGTTTTTATTCAGTAAGAGTCTGACACTCCCTCCCGCCTCACCCAGGCGGGAGCAGTCATTCGATGATTTTCCCACCTTGAAAAAAAAATGTCCCCGATTCTTTGTTCCCAATAGAAGTAAAAATATGAAGAATTTTCTTTTGATAGATAGACTTTTAAGCCTAGTTATCAAATAACAGTTCAATCGAATATATATACTCGCAATATACTGCTTACCTTTTAGTAAATGCTAGATAACTCATTTCTATTCAACATATTGTTAAAAAATATTAATCTTTATTGCTTGTCTAAGCAGCAATATTAATGTGATGGAAGCTAAAGAAGTATGTAACGAGCGTAGTAGGTGGCGCTCTGTAGTTTCTGTATACCATCAGATGTATGAATGTGATGGAAGCTAAAGAAGTATGTAAGGAGCATAGTAGGTAGCGCTCTGTAGTTTCTGTATACCTCTGCCTAACCCTGCGGGTAATAAAAGACGTAATATTTATCAAGCAATAATATAACATCTATATACCTAAGCATATTTTTGTTAAATATATAAACACTAGTATCCAAGTAAGAAAAAGCAGAATGATTCAGTACAGAGACATTAGCCATTGTTATACTAGATTGTACGCTTTGTAACGAAGCCATGTCTTCTGTAACTCAGTCGGCTCTAGACAACCAATGGCTACTGTCTCTGTACTGAACCAATCTTTGTTTTCTTACCTGCATAGGTACTAGATAACTTGGTTGAATTAATTTTGTTAGCCAATTGTAATATATAGCTATATACTATGTATGTAAAATAAATGTTTTTTTTACGCATACATACGTTTTATTTCAAATTAATACCTTTCCTTTCAAAAAATCTGCATAATATTCTATTGGGTATTCGCCAACTAGTCAAAGTCAAAATCATTTATTCCAATTAGACCAGGAAGGCACTTTTGAACGTCAACAACAAAAATTTAGAAGTGAAGCTACTTGCTCATTCCAAGGTGTAGATTCCTATGGAGAAGAACGAGCAAGAAACTCCATAGGTTACTCTTTTTCAATCGAGTTTACAATACAAGTCTCTAGTTACATAGTTTTGTTGTTTCGATTGTGTGAGAACAATGCAACACCTAAATGCAGTCAAAGAGATTGAAAAATAAAATAACCTCGAGGACAATAAAATCATACAATAGTCTACAATAGTATCTAATATATACAATACTTTTTTCGAACTGTCAAAAACGACAGTTTTCTATGAATTTTGTACGAGATTGTGTATTGTGACGTCACGTTTTTTTAGCGTCAAACAGCATAGTTATTTCTTAAAAATTTGGTGGAATAATACTGAAATTAAGTTGGTCATAAAATCAGTTAATCTAAGTATGATTACTTTATAATATTGAACAGTCGAAATTATTTATTTTTGATTAAGGAAAGTATCCAATTCAAGTTAACGTATACTCGCCGTGCTTCGGCACTGCTCTGTCAGCTCGACCGGAGTGATACCACAGCTTTGCAATGCACCAGCGTAACAAGTATTGAAGGGGGAAAATCATACAGACTTCTTCTGCCCTGTGTGAGGCGAGAGAGGGTGTCAGACTCTTACTGACCAAACCACCCCGTTTTTCATAGACCCGGAGCCACGGTTATCCAGCAGCCCCCGCACCAGCCTGACATCACCACAGCGTTGTTTCAGTGTATGAGTAATATTACCGGCACCAGTAACTCATCTAGTATTCCAGGTGTCCATGTGCGGCGTCGATTGCTTGCCATCAGGTGATCCGTCTGCTCGTTTACTGGCTTATACTATAAAAAAAAATTATGCTTCTGACAAACGACGGTCATAGATTATTTAATTATTAATAGAATCTTCGATGGAAGTCAACTTAGTAGATTTAGTCATAGGAGTATAGACAGATGTACGGCAATAGACTCACCCCCTATTACATGGGATTCATAACATACAATTTGTCTATTTAATCATGATAATCAACGAGGGCGCCACAGGTCGTTTTTATGGCAACCCCTACAGCGTAAGTACTGTTTTTTTTTTTATATGAGACAAGCCCACCACAAACTCAAAACTGCTGCAACTCCTGTAAGCCAGGATCTACAGTAGATACAACCATGAAAACACCGGAATACTGAATTCGGCGCGTCGCAGGGACATGAGTAACTGTCTTGGTTCCCGCAACGAAGTGAATCAGAAGATATTACAAGAGAAGAAGAAAAAACTATAGTTTCCACTTCCCTCGGTGAATTACTGCAGCCTTAAGGCTTAATTCATTCTGTCTCCTAAGTCTCGTAAGTACTGATGTGAAACAACGATTGCTTATTGTTTCGTCGTGAGAGTGAGGTTACTGGAGGCTCAATTACCCCCCTCCCAACTGAATACCCAACAATCCTCAAATTCCTAATCCCCGAAAGGACGGTAGCCGGTAACGCACTTGTAGTGCCTCTGGTGTTCCAGGTGTCCATGGACGACGCCGATTACTTACTATCAAGTGATCCGTCTGGATTTTACCGGCTTATAGTATAAAAAACATGCTCCTGACAAGACGACGATCATAGATTTGTTGTACCATAATTGAATCTATTTTTAGGTGTTTAACGCTATGAATCTATGAAATAATAAGGCGACCGTACTAAAATAATTTATTATTACAAAATATTCTTTAATACAATATAAATATAACTTAGTTTACATAATTTTAATAGCTTTTCTTCTTTTGTTTATTATTATTTCTTTCCAAAGAATGCTCCTCCTATTGATGCTGTAAAAAGTTATAAAATATTATAATTTTCGTTGTATTATCTATCTATATAAATAAAAATGAATTTCCGTTCGTAAGTCTCGCTAAAACTCGAGAACAGCTGAACCGATTTGGCTAATTTTGGTTTATTTATGTTCGTGGAAGTCCAGGGGAGGGTTAAAAGGTGAGAACATTTTAGGCGGTACGAAGTTATCTAGTATTTGAATACAATTTAGCTGCTTTATGCAACATGAATGTGTCGACCGTACAGATAGCATTGTCTCTCAGAGTACCTTTGTGCACTCTGCGATGTGAGGTCCTAATGAATTTTAATGCTCGTCATTTTCGGGAATGATGACGATGACGCCCCGAAAATGATGCAAATAAAAAAGTGACGTAATTTTGTCAGGTAAAAAAGTGAGAATAATTAATGCCAAATCAATTTTATGGTTGTCATCGTTTTCGTTATCACTTTCGGGGAGGAGTACACCCCGAAAATGATGATGAAAATTTTTATATAATAATATATATAAAAAGCGTTATATATTTTACCTGCAAGATTAGTCGCCTTCCCTGTGATATCTTGGGCGGCACCTACAAAACTGCCAGCTAGTTCATTGGCCGCTCCTGAAATTAATATAAATATTTAATACCAAGCATTTATTCTAGATGATTAATGAAAATACGTCTGCCTCATTGGCCGAGTTGTCGCAAGTGCGACTGCCGGGCAAGGGGTCTCGGGTCCGATTCCCGGGTCGGGCAAAGTACTACTGGGTTGTTAAAAAAAATTCTCAGTGGCAGCACGGAGTCTGGAAATGTACCCGGTATAGCAATAGGCTCACCTCCTATTACATGGGACTCGAAACATAAATTGTGAAAAGTGGGTGTTACATTGTACAGTGGCATTAAGTGCCGTAATGTTCACCTCTGCCTACCCCTTCGGGGATAGAAGGCATGATGTTATGCTATGTTAATGAAAATAATGACCGTTTTCACCCCTAAACCAACTCTTAACTAAGAATCAATTAGCGTTATCAGCACCTAAACTAACCCCTAAATTGATATTAGGTGTCACTTATAGGTTGGTGAAAATAAAATTTGCGTTGTGCCATCTATCTTAGCTAAGGGTTTCCTTAATATTCAGCTTATCATAATATGTACCAGATATAACATACTAGCAAACCCGGCGAACTCCGTTTGGCCACCGGCTTCGTTTTGTGTAAAATATCGTTAGTAAATTTTCTTTGCTATAAACCTCACGGAGCCCGAGACCTTCCCAACGAATGCAAAACCGTGGAAATTGGTTCTTGCGTTCTGGAGTTATAGCGTCAGGAAGGAAAACCCGACCAATTTTTATGTACCTAGTAAGTAGATAACGGGGCAAACATTTTTTGATAAGTAGTAGATGGCGCTAACAGAAAGAAAAGAAGGGACATTTTTGAAATATGTACTTTTGTAAAAATAAATAACATTCTATTTGAAACTTTGGAAGACAGACCAAATAGCCGAACACGGCATAAAGACAGACTTCGTTTACCACGAATAAAATTAAAATTATTTAAGAAAAATGTATATTGTATGTCCATAATCATATACATATAATAAATTACCAAATAGTTTACAAGAATTACCATTGCCATTATTTAAGAAAATGCTTTTTAACTTTTGCTATCCAAGTGTTACTATAGTATTAAGGACTATTTAGAAGATAAGACGATAGAATCTTGATAGTGTAATTTTAATAATAAGAGTGTCAGACTCTTACTGACGAAAAACCACCCCGTTCCTACTCCTGCACGTCGAGTCGGAGCCCCGGTTACCCGTTAAGTTCTCCGCGACTCCGAATCAGCATCAGCCCTATTGGGCCCCATCCGTGGTGGCTCTTTGAGGCGCGCGCGGAAGGCGACGCGCCGTACGCTCGGGTCTGGTTCTGGTCGGGCGGCGAGCCACCCATGCTCGCCGTCTGCAGGCCCGCGCTTACGGTGGCCGGAGATCGTCCCGCGATCCCCGACGCCCGGAGTGTCCTTCGCGATAGCTGGGTTGCGAGGAGGCAGCGCTTCGCTGCCTCACGCGTCCCGCCTCGTCCTTAGCTAGCATGACAGCTTCGCAAAAGACGGCATCCCAGTCCCCCTCGCTCTGCATCATGACCCGCACTAGGGCCTGACGCGAGAGGGACATACCAATAAGGTTAAGGTGAAGGTTATCTTTTAAATTACCTGCGATATTATTTGCCTTCCCTGCAATCTGTTGTGCGGCTCCTGAAACAGCTCCTGTAAATTACAATTATACAGGTCATAATATTTTTTTCACCATTGCCCTACACTAGGAATTTCTCCTGTGTCGTGGGTACGTTTACAAACATATAAATAATTGTGGCACCATGCTTCGGCACGAATGGGCCGGGACGACCGGAGTGATACCACGACCGACCTGAAAACTGAAGTGAAACAACGCTTGCGTTGTGTTTCGACGTGTGAGTGAGGTTACCGGAGGCCCAATCCCCCCCCTTCCCCTTTCCAATTTCCTCAATCCCTGAATTCACAACAATCCTTAAATTCCCAATTTCTAAAAGGCCGGTAACGCACTCGTAACGCCTCTGGTATTCCAAGTATCCATGGGCGGTGCCGATTGCTTACCATCAGGTGACCTGTCTGCTCGTTCAACCGTTGTAACGTGATGGAGTCACAAACATACCCACAAAGTTTCGTATATATAATATTAAGTAAGATTGCGCTACAAGACTCATCACAACAGCCTATAAATGCCCGCAGCTGAGCAAAGCCTCTTCTCACACGGAGAAGGTTTGAGCATTAATTACCACGCTTGCTCAATACGCTTTGGCGATTTCAAACTCATAATTAGAAATTATAAGCCCAGGTTTCCTCACGATGTTTTCCTTCACCGTTTGTCAGTGGTGTCTAACTGTCTAGATAATCTTAGAAAGTACATATAACTCAGAAAAAGTCACATTGGTACTTGCTGTTGGTAGGTTTCGAACCTGTACCCTCATGCATGAGATGCGGGGTCTTAAACCTCCGGGCCACCACGACTTTTGACACGCTTTGAGACTCAGTGGTTTAAAATACTTGCCGCTTATGTCAGGGAAGCCGCCTGCTTGCTGATGTCCTTGCACTGATGCTGAAGCAGATTGAGAGTTGAAAGCGGACGATACTGATCCTGTTAGATATCAAATTAAAATATATTTTTATTCCTTGGCTATAAACATAGTTAATAGGTAGGTAGGTATTGTAATTATCGTGATATATAGAAAGAAAGAGAGACAGTTTATTTGCACTGTTAAAAAAAACACGACAAGAAATATAAGTAGATAAAAAAAAATCGTCAGCACGTTAAGAGCCATGCTTCGGCACGAATGGGCCAGCTCGAAAGGAGTGATACCACGACCGCGCAGCGAGAACGCGCGACAACGCTTGCGTTGTGTTTCGTCGTGTGAGTGAGGTTACCGGAGACCCAATTACCCCTCTCATCCCTAATCTTCCCAATCCCTGAAATCTAGACATTCCTCAAATTCGTAATCCCTAAAAGGCCAGTAACACACTTGTAAAGTCTCTGGTGTTCTGGTCTATGGGCGACGCCAATTGCTTACCATCAGGTGATCCGTCTGCTCGTTTACTGACTTATTCTATAAAAAAAACAAGCGCCATAACTCCGAGCACGACAGCTCGAGTCATGGCGCTGATTATCAGCTTCAGACCGTGTTAAATTAATTATGTTGGGCGGTGTAGATAATAATCAGTTATGTTTAATGTGACTACTCAACTAGTTTCGAGGCACGATGAGGACTCATATTTTGAAACTAATCGAGTTAACATCCCTGAATAGCTACCTTAGTAAGTAACTTAACTATTTAAAAAATGTATTATCCCAAATAGGTCTCTGAAACTAGAAAACAAGCCAAATAACTAAACCAACCTGTTGGTACAGCACTGGAGATTGCCTGTGCACTTGAAACAGCTGCATTTTGAGCCTGTGATGGCAGGTTTCCTGCAGCAGCAGGAAGACCCGAGCTGACAGCAGATTGGAGCTGAGAAATAGGCAGTGCATTTCCTGGATTCACAGCACTGCTAACTTTAGATATTTCTGAAGGGATAGATCCCACAGCTGCCATGGGGTTAGGAAGATTACCAGGAGATAAGTTAGGAAGGTTAGGTAAGGATGGTGATCCAAGAGTTGGAGAGTTAACGCCTCCAGATATAGATGGCGCAGAGCCAGTAGGTGTGCCAGTTGGTGCTGATACAGCGGGAGGCGTTGCACCAGCAGCAGGAGTGGTTGCTCCAGCGGCAGCGGTAGTTGCACCGGCTGCGGTTGTTGCACCGGCAGCGGTCGTTGCTCCTGCAGCAGGTGTCGTAGCTCCTGCAGCAGGTGTGGTTGCACCAGCAGCTGCGGTAGTCGCACCAGCAGCGGGAGTAGTTGCACCAGCACCGGGAGTAGTAGCACCAGCGGCGGGTGTAGTTGCACCGGCGGCGGGTGTAGTTGCACCGGCGGCGGGTGTAGTTGCACCGGCGGCGGGTGTGGTTACACCAGCAGCGGGTGTAGTTGCGCCGGCGGCAGGTGTAGTTGCACCGGCGGCGGGTGTAGTTGCACCAGCTGCTGCGGTCGTTGCACCAGCAGCAGTAGTAGCTCCTGGTGCCGCAGTTGTGGCACCAGGAGCTGCGGTGGTGGCGCCTGCAGGAGTAGTTGCGCCCGCAGCCGCTGTAGTTGCACCAGCAGCAGCAGTAGTTGCGCCTGCAGCAGCAGTAGTTGCACCAGCTCCTTGAGTAGTAGCTCCGGCCGCAGCCGCACCAGAAGGCGCTGTCACTCCAGGTGTTCCAGAAGGCAGATTACCACTTATAGATCCAGATACATTAGGAGAACTTGGACTACCACCAGGTAAAGATGGTAGAGGGACACCACCGAAGCCAGGTATGGAAGCAGATGGCAATCCAGATAGATTTGGTAAAGCTGACGCTACATTGCCATTAGGTATAGGAACTGAAGACGGCAATGATGGCAAAGAAGCTGGTGGTGATCCATTTGCAGAAACAGAGGGATTTGCCGAAGGTGCACCTTGTGAATTCGGTGCTGAACCAGAATTTGGGGTAGGAGTAGGAAATATACCAGAGATTATGTTTGAAACGAAAGATCCTATTGGATTTTGAGTTGATGGTGAAGGTGGAGATTGTGGTGCTGGTGGAGATTGTGGTGCTGGTGGAGATTGTGGAGCTGGTTGTGGTTGTGGAGATAAAGCGTTTAAAATGGTTCCTGGGTTGAATAAGTTGAGGCTTGGAGCCGGCTGCTGCGTGGCAGCTGACTGCTGGTGACTCCCGAATGGGTTAAAGGAAAATGGATCAGGAATTGGGTATTCATTATTACCTACAAGTATACCTGCAAAAAATATAACAAAATGAGATAAAATAATGGTTCCGTAAAACAAATTAATCTCCAGCGATCTGTGGCCGACATTAAAATGGATCTTCGATAAGTGTGGGAGAGCCATGCTTCGGCACGAATGGCCCGGCTCGACCGGAGTGATACCACGGCCTTACAAAAAAACGACGTGAAGCAACGCTTGCGTTGTGTTTCGTCGTGTGAGTGAGGTTATCGGAGGCCCAGCTACTCTTCCCCTTTCCCCAATCCCTGAATCCCCAACAATCTTCAATCTAATCCCCAAAAGGCCGGTACCGCACTTGTAACGATTCTGGTGTTCCGTGTGTCCATGGGCGACGCCGATTGCTTACCATCAGGTGATCCGTCTGCTCGTTTACCGGCTTAAGCCATTAAAATAAAATAAAAAAGCCCCTATCTCGCCTGGTGGTAAGCGATGATGCGGTCTACGATGAAGCACGTCGACCCATAAGCAACCTATACACTCGGGCCTTGAAGACACCCAGGTTATACCCCCTTCACCACTTCCCCCTTCACCCCCTTCACACACTTTCACCCCTTCAGGAAATGCAGACTCTGGCAAAGAATTCCACTCCTTAGCAGTACACTCAAGGAAGCTTGATGCGAAGCGCTTCGTAAAATCGAAATAAATATATATCCCGAATAGAATATTGAACTTCTTAAATTAGTAAGTTACCGTCATCAGAGGTTTTAGGTTAGGTTAGACAAAGCATACCTAGTTATCAGTAGAACGTACTTTATGCTGGTAGAAAACATAACATAACATCACGCCTTTTATCCCCGAAGGGGTAGGCAGAGGTGTACATTATGCCACTGTACATTGTAACACCCACTTTTCACTATTTATGTTATGAGTCCCATGTAATAGGAGGTAAGCCTATTGCCATATACCGGGCACAATTCCAGACTCCGTGCTACTACTGGGAATTTTTTGAAAAACCCAGTAATACTTTTGCCCGACCCGGGAATCGAACCCGAGACCCCTTGCCCGGCAGTCGCACTTGCGACCACTCGTCATGTTTATCTTTCGATTTCAGTATCTTATTCGGTCGTTCCGCCATTTTTATTCGGACAAAAGTAGCCGGAGAGTTAGTATTTTAGGCAGTAGAATTAATATATCGTATAACTAAATAATTAAAATTAATAGTTGAGTGAATCAATTATGAATTGTCAATCACTTACTTATTCCTTGGCGGGCTATCGAAATCTGGAACTGTAACAAAATTATAAGTAATGTAGTGCATGTATCCCCCTTAAAAATATGTATTCGTATGTTCTACAACACCGTCGTTTCTAGTGACATCTATCATATTACGTAGGTACCTAATAAATAGAGCGGGTACTTCTGTTGAGTCAGTCGACAACCGACCGGCACGCAAAGCGGTAGTGCGCTAACCAACCTACAACTAATCATTAACAGCCTATAAGTGGCCACTGCTGACCAAAAGCCTCTTCTCACACGAAGAAGGTTTGAGCATTAATCCCCACGCTTGCTCAATGCGTTTTTGCGATTTCAAACTCATAATTAGACATTATAAGCCCAGGTTTCCTCACGATGTTTTCCTTCACCGTTTGTCAGTGGTGTCTAAATGATCTTAGAAGCTACATGCGGCCACACATCAATCTATACAAAACCAGTTTATCGTGGTGTCGCGTCGCATCATCTTTCCGCACATTTAAGATTACGATAATAGGTAATTTAACACTTTGATTCCGATGAAGGCAATCTATTTTTCTTGTGGCATCGAGCATTTCTTTCTTTATTTAAACAAGAGTATATTTTTTATTTTTTTCTTGTATAGAAGCACTATTTTATATGGATTGTCAGTATACATATGTAAGGACCATGTCAGACTTAAGATATTTGTTTTCTCTTGGTTTTGTTTTTTTTTCTATTTTAGTATGTTCTGTTATTTGTATGTTGCGTCAGGTATGTCTTTACATTATTCTCACATGTGTGTACAATATTGGAATCAGAGCAATGTAAAACAGACTTTTTTTAAAAGAGTAACGAATGGAGTTTCTTGCTCGTTCTTCTCCACTCGAATCGACATTTTGGAACGAGCGCCTAGCTTCACTGACGGACAGACTGACAGACTATTATATATTTCATATTTGTTGACGTTTCAAAAGTACCAAATTATGGTTTAATTGAAATAAATGCTTTTGAGTTTGAGTTTGAGTTTGAGTTTAACGTTCAGTTTATACTGGTTATGTAAAGCTCGATGTAGCCGTGCGTACATGTAACTCGGAAGAAGTGGTATGGCAATCTGGATACAACCAGGTTACAAAGGAGCGCCGCGCAAGACACGCTCGCCCACTTGCCCATAGAATGACAGCGGCGCCAAAAGAAATTGGGGACTTTCCTTAATAAAAAATATATTATTTCGACTGTTCAATACAACACAATATTTAAAAAAATATCACACTTTCATTAATTGGTTTTATGACCAACTTAATTCCAGTATTATTGTAGTAAAATTTTAAGAAATAAATATGCTGTTTGACTCTATAAAGCGTGACGTCATTATCACAATCTCATACAAAATTAATAGAAGTCTGTGGTTTTTGACAGTTCGAAAAAAGTATTGAATTTGACTACTATTGAATATTGAACATTGAATATTAATGATTAAATATTGACTAGAATATAGACTAGACATAGGTCTAGGGTTCGAGTCGCACAATTGGGATGATGACAGGGTATGAAAATTAAAAATCTAATTAGTCCATAAGTTAGGTAATGACAAAATATTAGACACGTATTTTTTTATTTTGTCGTATAATGAAACAATATTGAGATAAAACGTTTAGGAGTGGGGGCTAAAACGTCATTTCTACGTATAAAATGTACATTGAAGTGACGTCACGCGACATTTCAAATCAATGTACCGTCGAAAGTATTCGTTTCTGTAAGAAAATAAAAAATACGCGTGTCTAATGATTTAAAATAATCTACCAGAAGGACTTTAAACTGTCAAACACCAAGCGGTCACCGGTGACCGCAACCTATTGTTCTATAATTGTGTCTACAAAACCGGTACTCGACGAGTTAAAATAAACCTATTAAATTCGTTTTTTCAAAATCAAAATCATTTATATTAAATTAGACCAAAGTATATACTATTTCGGGATAAAAAAAGTACCCAGTTTTGTGCCCAGGATATTAAAGTATGAGACACATAGGTCTCCATAGGGAGGTGCCGTAACAGGCGTTGCACTGTGGGGGCTCCGGAATTGGTCTTCTAAGAGGACCCGGTGCCTCCTTCAAGTGCGGATGGTGGCCACCGGGGAGGTTTTAGTGAGATGAAAATCCCACACTCCCTAGTCTTTTTCCCCAAAAAGCTAGGCGCCTTTGGAAGGTTTCCCCCCGTCAACAAAAATAAGGATATTAAAGTATATTTTGTACCAAGTCTCATCGTAATCGGACCAGTAGTGTTACAGAGAGACAGACAAACAGACAAATATTTTTAATCACATTTTGATTTTGTTATCTATCTAGTGACACCCTATTTATTTATTTTTTAATATTTTCAATGTACAGAATTTACACTTCTACAGTTTTATTCTATGACTATAGATTAAGGGAAGTACCCAATTCCTAAAGAAGGTTTTTAATTGAACGATAGTGCCTAACTTATTATCATTTTGACCACTTTTTTTTTAAGGGGGGAAAATCGTCGAATGGCTGCTCCCGCCTGGGTGAGGCGGGAGGGAGTGTCAGACTCTTATTGACTAAAAACCACCCCGTTCCTTCTCATGCACGTCGAGCCGGAGCCCCGGTCACCCGTTAGGTTCACCGTGACACCATTTTGACCACTAACAGAGAAACGTATTAGTATCTACTTATAAAATATACTTATAACTTACCAAATAACAAAAAATTGCTAACAAAACCTTCCTCATTTTGACACAATATACCACTGAACTTAATAAATAATTGACAAATACAAATTGTCATTCACACGCAGATATACCTTATATACGACCATATGAACAAACAGAGGATATAAAATTATTTAATCATCCATTCTGGTTTGTTTATACAATTGTTTCAGAGACAAATATTTCAAAAGTTTTACTATATAACTTGGTATGGCCATTAAAACTGCGAATTCGTTGGTGGCGTGGCTGGGCAAAGAGCTGCCGTGCCGCGGTTTCGATTCTCGCACGGAACAACACTGTGTAATCCACAAATTGTTGTTTCGAGGTGTCATGTGTATGTGAACTTGTATGTTTGTAAACGCACCCACGGACACAGGGAGAAAATCCTAGATTGGGGAATCGTTTTTTTATTAGATAGGACTGACGTTTTACCACTATCCTGCTTTGTTTTGACCAGAACCAGACTCGAGCGTACGGTGCATCGCGTTACGCGCGCGCCTCAATGAGCCATCAGACCACCACGGATGGAGCCCAATAGGGCTGATGCCAATACAAAGCCGCGGAAAACTTAATAGGTTACCGGGGCTCCGGCTCGAAGTGCAGGATTACGAACGGGGTGGTTTTTAATCAGTAAGAGTCTGACACTCTCTCCCGCCTCACCCAGGCGGGAGAAGTCATTCGATGATTTTCCCCCTAAAAAAAGTAACAAATAATTTTCTGATAACTGCATCAAAATCGGTTCAGCTGATCGCAAAGTAATCGCGAACAAATATACATACAAATATATATGACAAGACATGCTTGCAGAAGGGCACTGGATGAGTTTCTCGGTAAAATGGACTATGAACGGACTGAACAATTCATAAATATATGAGTTCAAGACTAATTTATTTATACATATTTTTCATACCAGTAAATTTTATTTATCATACATAACTACCTATATAGATTTATTATTTATTTATTTTTTTTAATATATATTGTCTATATGTATATACATTATTATTGTTTAATATATAGTGTTTATTCTTATTTCATCTATTTATTTTTTATTTTTTATTTTTTTATTCTTTATTTTGTATTTTGTACCAAATGCTTCAAAATATCTACATTTACATTAATAATGTTAATACTTAAATGTTTACTCCTCATCACTTTACAAGGACAACTACAGAGTGGGAAAACTATACATTACGCATATATCAAAGGTACATACCAAAAATGAGTTGCACATAAATATTGGCCAGTTACTAATTTTGTACTGATCACCAGTTAAATTTTTCGCACCAGATTTTTTGTCTAAAAGTTTTGCATGTACTATTTGTTCATACTTTGTGGCTGTTACTTATTATAAAATTATTAGTAGTTGAAAAATCAAAGCTGTAAGCAAAAGGGTACTTTATGTTCTACGTTACATGATTGAAAATAAATCGTTCGAGCGAGAATCTTACCTTGCCGTAACACAGTCTTTGACTAGCACGGGAGGTAAAGTAAAAAATCTACGTATACCGTCTGTGGACATTTATTACACTTTTGGTATCAAACTTATTGTCTTGTGAATTACTGAGTTAAATTACTTTTGTTTGCAAGGTGTATTATAGGATTGCTGTTGCTGTGTATTATTGATACTACAGAAATGCCACTGCTTATGTTAACTTGTATGTATACATTATAAACTAGTATTTTTTGGTCTACCTTGCAATTGTGATTGTGATTTCTATGTATTCATTATCGCTTTCTGTTAAATAATAGGTATACTTGTCCTTTGTTTTGCTAAATAAATTATTCTTATTCTTATTCTTATTCTT